TCGACAACCACGATTCGGTCAAAAGCTTCAAATTACTCACAACTGGAGAATGTTTTCTGACCATTTGTGAATGACTTTTTACATCAATGATATTCGGGAAAAAATGTGCGACAGAAAAGTGTCAAAACAGATTATTTTCAAAGTTTTAAAAAGTTTCTAAATATTACAATTTTTTAAGTTAATAAGCTTATAGTTCAAAAAATTTTTAGAAAATCAGTTCGACAGATATTGCGTGAAGTGAACAAACTTCCCGACAAGGAGGACGAATGGGTCAAACTGGCGTTTGATCAGATGTAAAGTAAAAAGTCAGATGAAAGAACAAGACAGGTCTTATACTCCTAAAAACGATAGATAAGCATAAGCAGACAAGTTTTCGGAAGAAGTTGGCGGAAGGTTAGAGGAAATCATGTATAGTTTAAAAATAGCACATTTTGTTCACTCTCAATATTGTGAAAGTAGATATGTGCTTCACTGTTTCGCTTCAGCTAAGTTTGTAGCCTGAAGCAAATGATATAAATATCTGAAAATAAATTTGCTGTTGTGCAAAAAAACAAAAAGGAAATCTTGATCGCATTTACTAGACCCACCAAGCAAAGGAACATTGGGCGTCAACTACAGATGCAGTACATTCCAATTCAAATTCTATCAAATTTGGGACTTTAGAAACCTTTGCCATCGCAATGTCGTAGAAGAGAATTAAAAGATTATACAAAGATATCATCTACCGAATACTTTACGGTTATCGCTTTAAAAAAAAAAAACGAGTTGTTAACCTATAGAGGGTTGATCCTTAAGAAACTGGCTTAGCGTACAGAAAAAATATAAATTCTATCCGCTTTTTGTTGGTTGCACCATATCAGTCAGTCTTTGCTCTCGCTGTTTGTGCTAAACAATTTTATATCAGAAACAGTCCTAAGGTTTTGCGAAATTGGTAGAAATATTTCTTATTATTGTATTGCTGGTTTTGAACCGTGAAAGTTCAATCTTGTTCCTTCTAATCTTTATTTTTCTTGGCTTTGGAGTTAGGAAATAGACTCGGTTACTAAACCATGAAATCAGGCAAGCTGTAACAAATCGTTGCCAGGATGAAAGGTCGTGCAAAAAAGTTTTTATTAATTTGTGGGGTTTTCACTATTTTTTTTTCATGTTTGGGGCTATAAAGTCACATATGCTTTAGATAACAAGTGAATTGCCAAATAAACAATAATTAAAAGCTATTAATAGTGAGTCGTCAGTAAATGCTTGAATCAGAGAGATCTCAACTCTTCTGGCGTTGCTATATTTTAGTCAATCTAGTTAGACGACTATTTCTCGTACCGTATTCTACTGCTGTTCCTCTATAAGCGCATGGCGTCTCTCTGACTCATAGAAATTGGTCTAGATTTCGTCTTTTTATATCAGAATATTATCTTAGGAGAAATACAAAGAAGTTTTTTGCTAACAGGTTTTAGAAAAAGTGGTCGGAAGGCTTAATAGGTGCCTCTGTTTTCGCTTTATCGATGAATCATTGATAGTGCATTAAACAAATTATATTCAGTTGAACAGCACGCTCACTTTTTAAAATTTTCAATTTCGCTTTTTTAATTAGTTTCACCAAAGCCATATGAGAAAAGCTGTCTTTGGTGTTTCACTTTCACTAATAACATTTTAAATGGAGATGAAAAAAGCATCTTCAAATTTTTGAAAAAAAATTACTCTTGTAAAATCTTTTGCGATATAACAGATCAAAAATTGGTATGGCCTTTATTCGAATTTGAGGGTTACGGACAGGAATTGAGCGTAAGCTTCAAAATAACCTCCTACACTTACAGTAACCTCGTACAGGCAAAACCGTCTTCAGCTGCTTCTGAAAGCCACAGAGAATCCTATTAAAATCTTGTTTTCTTTGACATTAGAAGTTTCTTATAAAAGTAATGTTTTACAAAGAAATACTAGCGAGTTACTGATCTGTAAAATTGTTATCGGTATCTTTATTTCCAGCGTTTCCTGTTTTTCATATGTCATGGCTGGCTTATATAGCCATTAAGAAGCATTCAGCTCATGAAAAATGAAAGCACTGATAAAATTTGTTGTGACACAAACCTTAAAAAACAGTGGATTTCGTATGCAAAATATAATTGAGATACGAGAACTTTATTTCGGCGTTTTAGACGATAGTGATTAGAAAAAATTTTAACTCGCAGGAAAGTTTCCTTAATCTTCTCATTGAAAAGTTCGTTGTGTGAGCAAACATGAGCTTCGCACAACGTTCTTTTGTTGAAATTGTATATTGTAACCTCATAAATCAACTAGGCTACATGAACTTCAAAAGAAGATGTATTTTTTACGTAATTGGATAAAAGAGTAAATTTCTGAACTTCTTTATAAAGCGTGAATATAAACTAGATATACGTTTTGTTGTGAATAAGGCAGAAAGCAAGAATACTAGATTTGAAGGCTATTTCTAGAAAGTCTACAGAACCATAAATCACTATTATTTTCGTGTAAATTATGACGTTCTTGACAAATTCTCAACAATTAAAAGACATCAGATTTTAATAGGGTTTTCTGCGGCTTTCAGAGGCAACTGGAGGCACTTTTGCCACTGCGGGAATAAAGTAAAAGCAGTAGGTTATTTTCAGTCTCACATTCCTCTCTAGTCTGTAAATCTCAACTTCTATTAAATGCCATTTTTGATCTGTTATAAAAGAAAACTTCACAAATGTTCTTTTCTTAAAAATATAAAATTTTGCTTTGTTTATATTCATTTGAAATATTATTTTTACTGCATAAGTAAAATTATTCACTAGGATTAAATTAATTTTATGTGTATTTAAAAAGTAGAAAACATGACAATTTCATCTAAGTGTAAGTTTGCGTTTTTTTTTTGGAAACGAGGTTGACTACAAGTCTGCGAAGTCAGGCATTTCAGGGAACAAGTTGACAAATTTTGAGAACTTTAGGTGGCGGCGTACTTTTCTAAGTTCTTCCTTTGGCCCCTCCAACTTTTGGCCCAGTTTCTTCTAAGTTCTCCGATCTTTTAGTTTTTTTGCTCTGGCTCTTTGTGTCTTGCTTGCTGCTTTGTTAATTTCGTTCAAGGAACCTTGCAAATTTAAATGAAGAGATACCGAAATGTTACGGGAATAGAATAAAATGTAGAAGAAATGTTGCTGTTAAAAGCCACACAGAAATATAAAACAATTTTTCAAAACAAAGACGATGGTTACGATATCAATATTAGTTGTTTCTAATAAACTGAAAATATTTTTTCAGTTATTCTGTAAATAAAATTTTTTACTAACAATTGATAATCTGTTAACAGACTTCAGATGCGTATCAGCAAAATTTGCCAAAAGTTCAAGACGTCAAAAGAAACTACCTGCAAACCATATTTAATGTGATCAACTAGAATAATGTTTTGATTAGTACATCAAATATGTAACTCTTTCCCTTTGCTTTCCAAAATGTGTAAGGTTTTGCACAATTTTTATTAGTAATGCTGAAATAAGTTTTGTAATAAGGAAAATTTATTGTACTTGAAAACATGTAATTTGTGCCACTGAAAAGAACCAACAAAAACCATTGTAGAATTGCTGTTTTTAGAACGATAAATAAAGTTTATGACAGAGCTGTCAATCAGGTGATGCAGTGGCGACAGAAGGAACCACTGATTCAGTGATTAGTAATTACATGGTTAATTTATTTAAAATTTGTCATCAGTCAAATATTTTCCCAAGTTTCTTACGGTTATCTGCAATTTTAAATACAGTATATAATTTTGCATAAGTCTTTTTATTAAAACAATATTTTGTCAAATAACACTAAAACTATTAATTTATACCGGAAATTTTAAACTTATTTTATAATGTAACATTCAAATGCAATAATAAACTTAATGCTCTTTCAAAAACAGAAGTTTGCTTGCACATTTGCCAGGTTATTGCACAATTAAAAAATTTTTTATGGACAAAGGATGTCATTAAAAGTTTCTGTCGTAAAATATCGTTAGTATCTTTGTTATTGGCAGAGCAGAAAAGAACAAGATAATAAAGAGCACAAAAAAACCTCAGAACTCAAGCAGCTCAAGATAAACAGCTTCAGAAGTAATGAAAAGCTTAGAAGTTTGCAATAACAACAACAAAAAAACTTAGACAAAAAAAAAAAAAACAATGATATTTTTAGATTTCAACTTTATACATTTCAGTCTTTAAAACAATGTCATAAAAGAACGAAGACGTTACAACTGATATCCCGAAAATGACCCGATAACTTAGACAAAACTGAATGAAACTTTGCAGAAAAAAAAAGAACTAAAAGTTGTTGACTGTATACCAGAAAATATATTCGATTTTATTGTCTCTTTGACAATTTTATTCATTCAATAACAGTAGTAAATTTAAAAGTTTCAATAAAGAAGAAACCAAATTTTTCTGACTTACTATATTGAGCGTTCCCTTTACTAGTACCAAAAACAAAACAAAAAATACTTAATTGTTAAAATTAAAACTTAATAACCCTGAAAAACAGATGCGCGAAAAAAGAAAAGAACAATAATACAAAAATAATTAGTTATTAAATTTATAACCGTTGATATGTTCGAAAAATCACAACAACAATGATTATTTGTTGACAGAAAATGGTTCAAAAATACAGCAAGGAAAACTTAAAATATTTGCCGATACTGCAAGGCTAATAATGTTGCATATTTTAGCATAACAAGTAGGAGAAACTTTAGATGTACAACAAGTTAAAAATTATAAAAGAAAAAAAAACAACTTTTGAATATCACTAAGACGTTCAATTAAGGTTTATACAAATTTGCGAATGATACACAGATATCAACAACAACGATCGCGAAGGCAAACATTTACTTCTAACTGATCAACAGCAAAAACAACGACAGTAACAACAAAATAGTGATGAAACATAAATCATTTTACCTCGCCTTCTTATTTCTCTTCTTCTTTATTTCTGCAACTTTTTTTCGTTCTTTCACTTCCTTCCAAACGAAACTTGCAAATTTAAAATGGTCGCCATAAGTTCTGATTCCATAATGAATTAAGTGTTAAGAGGTCATTGCAGTTAGTAGCGCCACATCCACCCCCGCCATCCCCACCGATACTGCTAATTCCATAAAACGACGATATATTTGTAGAGATGGGCCACGGTGTTGGACATGAATATTTTAACAAATTTGAAGTTGTTTCAATTAAACGTGCAATATAAGTTGGATCAAAATTGTTGAGCATTAATGGTTGCCGAGATTCCGTTGACGTCAACGAAGCTCCAATAGTACCAAGAGAAGCACCGGGTGTAAGAGCAGCTGCAGAGTTAGTAGTAACGTTTGTCCTTAAATGTTTATTTTTTTCATCTTTAGCAGTTCATACCATTAACACTTGAAATGACACTATTTTCAAATACTAGTTAGTGATTGTAGTTTTCCACTTTACCCGTTTCTCCCGACTTTCTGCATGTTTGAAAAAAAATTGCTTTTTAGCAGTTTAAAGTGCCTAATTTTTGTAAACCACAATATTACGTACCTATATGTAATGTTGATACAAAAAAACATTGCAAACCTGTTTGGTACGGGCCTTGGCATGCAGAACGTTGACGGCAATGGAACCACTTGGTTTTCAATTCCTCCTTGACTGGACAACTTTCGGCGTCTTTTAATAGTAATGAACGAATTTTTTATTGTGCCATCTAAAGCGTCTAAAATTGTTTCACTTAGGCTTGGACTGCCAGACGATACAATGCTTGGTGATGTTTGCGAGTTACTTGGTGATGCATCACTTCCAGTTATATTTGTTTGTTGATTAGCATCGTCAAATGAATCAAGCTATAAACGTCGTAGTAAACATTTTTATTCTCACACCTTTTTTTATCTTTACATAAATTTTAACAAAACAGTAAAAAAGCGGAAAAAGCGTAATTAGCATTTTAAATTCTTTTAAAGTTTAGCTCAAATGTTACTGGTAAAAAAAATCAACAAGAAAGAAAAAGAAATAACAAAGTAAATTAACCTTTAACTGATTAATTTGTTTAAGCTGTTTAAGCGATTTACTCAAATGATTATGCAGTTTACTGTTATGCTCTAACAGTTCCAGTGATAAGTTGCCAGATACATTGAATTTTTGCACTTCTTTGAAGCATTCGTTGTAACCATCAACAAAACGAATGTTTAACGATGTTTCTGAAAACAGGAGAAATTTAGCAGCATAAGTTTGGAGCTGAGTAACGCATAAAGATGTCCATTTCTTTAGCTTACCAAACTGGTTTCTTAATTTAATTTTTTCTACCTAAAGAAGACTATTTGGTTTATCACACTTTCCTTCGTAATTCTGTTGTTGCTGCTAGTGTCTGCTATTGTAAATGACTTATTTTGACTCCTAGTATTTGTTAATAAAACTTAACATGATCAATTCTACATCAATAGAACATCAAACACTTCAAGATGCTAAAGGTAAAAGCACTTCGTTTATCGCCAAAAAAAGTAATTCTATCCGTAATTGTTTTGAAAAACATCCACCAAGTTTTGGTAATAAAACTTATAAGTGTTAAACTTTTTCTGCTTTAGCAAGTAGTAAAGGTAACATTTATTTAAGGAGTAAGTATTTTCAATTCAATTCTCTTTGCCTGCCTTGCTCCCTCTCAATCAACATTTAAATTAAACCTAATAAGCGTTTAACCTCAGACTTGGCTATTTATATCACAGACCAATATCTTAGCTATTCTTTCTCTTGCTTCTTTTCTTGGTTGTTTTTGTCAATATTTTTTGATTAAATTATTTATACAGAAATGTTTACAGTCAAGCAAAAGCCTATTTCAAAAAAAATGCAGGAAAGACATCAAAATAACTGTGTAATTCACTGTAAATAACTGTTTTCAAAAACTGTCATTTAATATTATTTCATGATACCAATAGACAGTCGATCGAATAATTTGTTTGACAAATTAGTATTTAAAGTATTCAACTCCCTTCCAAATAAAAAAAAAACTGGCTGGCTCAATAATACGTTTAATACATGATTTGACAGTTCAAATAAGAAAATCTAAATTCAAATAAACTTGGATTATGCTGCCTAAAATGCAAATCACTTAGCACAAAAAAAGCTCTTTACCCTTACCTGGTCAACCAGCAAAAAAAAAAAAAACTTTTCTTTTCTAAAAGCTCTTAGTTTGGTGGTGTGTAAACATTGCTTTTTTCCGTCGTCATCGTCGTCGTCGTCACCGTTATCGTTGGGTGTCGTTGGCGTTAGGTAACCAAAACAGAATTTTCTCCCTCTCTCTGTTATTCTCTTAACCCTCCTCTTTTTCAACCTTTCCGGCAAAAAAACTCCTCTATTTGCACCTGTTACCTTTGTCCCTTATTCTGTATACATCAAGATTTGTACTGTATCGTTGAGCT